CACACTTTTGTGTAACACTGCCTTTCTTTCAAAATCCCTCTATATAACGAATAAATTTATTTTTTTAAATACATATCATTCAATAGTTTGTCAAATTCCCTCAAAAAATACTTTCTTCACTTATTTTTGACTTTCGGGGAACTGACAATGGGAAAAAAGGTCTATGGAACATATGTGCACCCAACATCGATAAGCTCTATGAGGGGTGCACAACGGATCATTGTGCACCCACATTATAAAGTTAACACATTGCAGCAACAAACTCTGTGATGGGTGTCTAACATTCGTCAAAGGCCTATGGGAAATATCTGCACTCGACAACGATAAGCTTCACAAGGGATGGGTGAACGATCGTCTTGTGCTCATATTATAAAGTTAGAAATTGATAACGACAAGCTCCGGGAGGGATGTGTAATAATCGTTAGAGGCCTATGAGACCCATCAACACCTGACAACAATAAGCTCCGCGAGGGGTGCATCAACGATAGTCATGTGCCCATATTATAAAGTTAGCACCCGGTAACGACAAGCTTTACAAGGGGTGTCTAATGATTGTTAGAGGCCTATGGTACGTATTGACACCCGACAGTGACAAGCTCCACGAGGGTTTTGTGAAAGATTGTCTTACGCCAACACTATAAAGTTAGTACCCAACAACAATAAGCTTTGCGAGGGGTGTCTAACGATCATCAAGGGCCTATGGGATGTATCTACACCCAATAGCGATAAGCTTCGCATTGGGTGTGTGAATGATCATCATGCGCCTATATTACAAAGTTAGCACCTGACAGTGACAAGCTCAATGAGGGGTGTCTAATGATTGTCAGATGCCTATGGGACGTATTGACACCTGACAATGACAAGCTTCTGAAGGAGTGCATGAACGATCGTCATGTGCCTGAATTATAATGTTAACACTTGAGAGCAACAAGATCCATGAAAGGTGTCTAACGATCGCCAGAGACCTATGAGACATATCGATACCCACACCGACAAGCTCCACAAAGGATGCGTAAATGATCGTTCTATGCCCGAACTATAGCGTTTACACCTGACAGTGACTAACTCTGCAAGAGGTGTGTAGAAGTTGCCAATAAGAGCAAGTCAGAGCATTTCTAATGTGCGTGGCGGCATACCCATGCGTTTGCCAACTAATAATGATGAGAAGAAAATTGCTTGTGAGCTAGAATGGTCATTGAATACAAGAATAAACTCAAAATACTAAACCCTACCATTTCAAAAGATTCATTACACTATAAACTATGTTTACAAAAATTGAATTACAAAATTTTCATACAAGCACGTGTAAACATTAAGAAAATTGTGAAGCTAAGAAGAGATGAGCATGTGTAAACATTAAGAAAATTGTGAAGCTAAGAAGAGATCGCTCATCTGCGCTGTATGTTCAAGAATTCCCCAACACCCTCTTCCTCAGTATCTTCAGCTTGCTCGACATCGCCCGATTTCCCATTAGAGAATTCCCGTTTCCATCCTGTGAATCTGAAATCAATGTGCCAAACTCCTTTATGTCCCACCACTTTGGATTGACCAGTCTATGTTTCACAAACCTCTCTATAGCAAGAGATGACCACAATTTCATAGGGGAAGACCTCATCATGCTCCTTTCGAGTGATCATAGAGGAAATTTTCTTTTTCAACTCGTTGTACTCCTTAAGAAACATATCATGTTCTTAAGCCTCCGACTCCCTCTGCTCCACATATAGTTTCAACATTTTCTCGCACATAGTGGCTCTTCACCTCATTTTTTTTTATCCGCAAGGCATCCCTCTTAATTTTTCTTTCAGCCAGGTCCAAAACAATTCCCAGAAAATGCAAATCCTCCCATGCAAGAAAATGATAACTATAAATCACCTGAAATATATCTCGCCTGTCCATCATTCCCAGGTACTCCGCGAAGGCAGACAACAAAAAAGTCTCCATCAAAGTCGACAAGTAGTCCCCATAGAAAGGGGTACCTCTCAATCTTCATATCAAGAAGAGTGTAGTGACTGCTCGTCCAAAATACATTCCCTAGGTCATGAGAAAAAGACCACTAAATCAGAATCCCTCCTCTCCTTAGAAGAGGGGGCAACTCGGTCCCAAAATTGAGGCCTTCCCTTTCCCTGAGAGTATACCCTCCTCCGTACCCTCAATGACCCTCATTTTTTATTCAAACCCATTTTCTATCGAGATGGGATGGGAGGAGCGGCTTGCCTCCACTTGATCATGCAGAGCCACGAACTGGTGAAACCTCCTGATCAAGTGCACCAGAAAACCCGAGGATGTCCTTGCCACTTCCTTTAAATAACACGGCTAAGTAATTACACGTCCATATATAAAAACAATCAAAATAAGGAAAACCTTTTTAACTTCAGCACCTTCTTCAATCGAGCCAAGGGGGCAGACCGACTCTCACCTCTCCCAAGCAAGGAAGGGTCACTTTATCATTGCTGCTTCTTCGAAACCGCCCTCTTCTCGGCTGATTTCTCTCCAACCACTTCTCAAGCATCACATAATGCCCACAACCCTTTGATCACGGTCCCTCTATTGTCGGTCAAATTATACTCTTCGTCACGCTTAGATTGAGGTCATAAAACAAAAAGAGGCGTTGACCCTCGATCAACACCTTATGATCTTTGAGATTGGCATAAAGTGTCTTCACTTTCTTTACCTTGCATTCTACCGGACCGGTGTCGATCCCCCAACAACTCGCTCGGGAACCCACTAGGAACTTTGCTTACTAATCTTTAATCTTATTCTCAAGACCAACCCATAATATGAATCTTGGGAACCAGTGACAAACTAAACATAGCCACCCTTTCCTATAGGAAAGGAGAAGAAATGGTTGAACAATTCGATTGATAAAAGAGTTTTCATCCTTCGACAAAAGAGGATGAAGTTCATTATTGAAGCCACAGAGTTGGGAAGAACCTGACCAGGAACAACCTCATACCATCCAAATATTGACCACAACTCCTTACAGAATGGCATCCGAAAACTCATTTTGAACATGTCCTTATAAAAAATCAAGTTGGGGGAAAGTAACATGTCACTTACTCATGGCTGGTTACCGGTCGAAGTCAAATAGAAGGGTTAAGAATGCAAAGGACCTGATTCTCTTCCGCATCCTCTTCGGAAAGAACCGAGACCTCTGAAATTTGGATCAATCGAAATGATTCTTGGGAAAATTTTTGCACCATATGACTAATCACACGAAGAAAAAGGAAAAGAAGGAGGATGAAGGGAGATAATGAGTCACAAGAGGAAGAAGAAGAAGCCAACGATACCTTAACCATTGATGCATGTATAAATATACATCTACAATGGAAAACAAAACACCGCCGACAAGACTGGTGTGACAATAACTGTGCACTACTCGAGAAAAAAACAATCATTATCAAAAATATAAAACTATATTTCATTTATTTATTTATTTAGAAAAAGAGAGGGGACATCATACCAGACCCTTAAATTTAACTAAGGAAAAATCTAACTATACGGTCATTTGCGGTTTCGTCCGAGATAAATCCTTGGTGATGTGACCACTCATACATTAATTCACCACCTAGATTAAAGAGGTCATCCAGACTATACCTCATATAGACGAAAAGTTCCTCTCTAACGGGCGACATCTCCTGATATAGCTGCGCTATCTCCCCATGATCAGCCAGTATCTCTCCTTGAAAAACAAAGAGCTCTCCGTAAAGTGCAACAACTTCTTATTCCACCCGATCAATTCTCTCCAAGACCTCGACAACTTCCTCACCATTATGCCCTCGAAGTTGCACCAACAAACAAAGAAAAAGCTCCTCGGCAAGGCAACACACCAGAAAATCAACAAGGCGCCCCTAGATGCCTTCTCCTCAACTCCGTGCTGGAAGAAACTTGGGAGCCCACACTCTAGCTCTACTGGGGGGGGGGGGGGGTTTTCTTCACATCCTCTGGGCCGCTGCGTCCGGCTCCATTATGCCTGCTCCAGGTTCTCTGTTTTGTAGACGCCAACCCCACAATATCCACTCCTCTCTTCGTGGCTCGATCAATGGTGGCTACATCGCCCTCAGAGTTGGCGTTGATGTCTGGTGAGATGGAAGCAATTGTCAGAGTTCCAACGGTTGCAAAAGAAATACTTAAAGGCATGAATCAAGTTATGTTCCCAAAATTCAACACCATTCAGAGGTGGTGTAAGAGACAAAGTCCTGACCGATCTCCTATAATTCACCACCCTTAGAGGAAAGGCTATCCTTTAACAATTGAAGCTGTATCATTGCCTTCTCGAGCCCCTAGGGAGTCATGTTCCACACAACGGGCTGAATCATTCCTCCCTTTTGGGTAGGAGTAACCGCTTACGACGGATGCCCCCGAAGACGATCACCGGGACACCCTCCAATCTCCTCCACAACTCTCCCCTGTGATGAGCCCGTGGGAAACTCCAAAGACCCAGTTCGATCTTCGATCTCACGACTCTTGCACAATCCTTTTCTCGCTCAACTCTTCCGCAAAAACTTTGCTCGCTGGTTTATGCTTCATTACAGGTTTGCAAGCTCCCCCACTCGCATATCACCCATGGCTTTCAGGAGGGCGCTCTCTCACTAAACATCGTCGCAAACACAAAGTAGAAGACAAAAGGCCAAAGAAAAGAAAATGAGGAAACAACACATACCTTCCTTACTCCAAGGTCTATTGATAATAGTCCGGGCACAAAAATTCGGGGAAGCCTATTATTACACATTAATGTTATTTAATTCATACATGTCCAAAAAGATTCTTGTATTTTCATGTGATGTGCAGCTTCTAAGAAGCAAGAGAATCAGAGAATTAAATATATGCATATAAAATATGTCAGCATAAATCTCAAGACTGATAACAGGTTCAGGAGTAAGAAACGACCGATCCAACGTAGCTATTGTAGATCATTTCAGGTTAGACAAGGTTTAGAGGGACGTCTTTTTGAATCGATGAAATATGTCAGGAGATTTCCAAATGATCAGTAAGAATGATCACTTGAAATAAGAAGTCTCTTTTACCATCCTTGGCGCGGGCTAGATAAGTTCGATGTTTCTTCGTTCGGAATCAAGTTGAAATTTACAAGATCTAAAAACCTAACATACTTGCAGCGGAACAGCACGAGTTCCGTCAATCCATCATAAACATCCATCATTCCCCACAAATCTCTCCCTCTCCTCTGCTCGGAGATCCCCGAGCATGGAGGGCGTTGGGGCTCGTCTCGGCCGTTCATCTGCACGGTACGCCCCAACTACGGTGTTCAGCGGACCCGTGCGGAGGTGGAAGAAGAAATGGGTTCCTCTCTCAAACCCTAACAACTCAAATTCCAACAATAACAATCACTCCCATCTCCTCCTTTACAAATGGACTCCAATCACACCGCTTTCCAACGGCACAGCAGCCGCAACTCCGCCAACTTCTAGTAAAGATGCCACTTCAGCCGCTGTCACGCCGCCTTCTGCGGCCGAGGAGGCTCCCCAGAGGAAGTTCCGGTATATCCCGGTACGATTCATTGTTTTTTTTCAGTACTTTTTTCTTTTCACAGACTTGAACATGTACCTTTACAAATGGACTTCAATCGATGTTTAACTCTGTTATGGGTTTAAGTGCTTGTTTTTACAAATTGGACGTTTGTTTATGCCATAAATTTGTTTGCTTTGTAGGTTTGGATTGATATTATTTGATGTTTGTTTTTAGGTAATTGATGTTTAAGGTTGAAATATTGGGCTAGGGGAGAACAGGGTGCTGTGGGGAGAAGCAGGGCATGGAAACTGTGGGTCATGATTTTTGCCACCTTATTGAGCTATTCAGATGAAAATTGATTACAAGTGAAAGGAAAAGCTGAAATGCACCTCGAACTCCTGGGCTGTGTTAGCAAATTGTAGTTGAAGAGAGCTCAAAAGTCAATGATATATTTCAAAGGTCCTGTCAGGTAGGGGACCTAATGAGAATGAAAAGAAAATAGATGGAGGCTCGACAAATTTAAAATCCAAGAAGCCTTAGTTCTCAAAATGGGGTGTATGAGTGACTACTCGATGGTAGATTGTTGAGTGAGGGGATACCTTTTGGCAAACTTCCTAGCACTGACTATTATTGTAGCGCCATCCCACTTATTTATCCATGAATCCAAATATAGGGAATAGATATTGATCTCTCATTTGAAGGCATGTTGTATAACCATTCTATTGCTTGTAAAAGTGTAAGAAATACTCTTGTGATTGCTGTTATGCCCAATCACCTCTCATGGCCAGCCACCTCACATTGCATTTGGTGTCTCTTTTGTGGCCATTGGGTAGGTGTTACCCTGGCTTCTTTAATTAGTTAGTTGCTTAAGGAATCAATAATGATAATAAAAGATACTATATTAGAAGCATGTCTTCACATGAGCAATGACCCCTTCATTATTAGGCGGGTGCATCCAAAGTCCTCTATAAATGCCCAATTAGGGTAGGGAGGAGGAGGGAGGTGGGAGGGAGAACCTTAACACCTTGAACTAATTGTTCCCTTCATATTTATTTTCATTTGAGTTACTAGACATGGAATTAGTCAAGGCTTCTTTCATCACTCTCATTCTTTTTCTCTCTCCCTCTCTTAAGCTCTCCTTGTGATCTACACCACTCAAGGTATCTTCTCAACTTAAGATATTGTATACATGTTGATCTCCTTGACATTAACAATAACTACACGCCAAGGTGTGTGATAAGCATTAAGCATAACTTGGATTGCATGATATCTAACAATTCCTAGAGCCAATATTAACTTTGGTTTCAAAGTTATGCTTGAATTAATGGTCCTATTAATGTTTCACTAAAATCATGAACAAGACTTGATCATTTAAATGATAGCAATCAAGCAATATAAAAGCTTAAAGGGCTTGTTTGGTTCCCACTTTGTCTTAAGCTTGTTAAGTGAAGGTAAGCTAAGTGACAATCTTTAAACATACATCTGCCGTTTGGTTGATTGTATTGATAAAAATTTTTTTTGAATAGCTTTTAATTTAAGTTTTGCTTGTTTTATTTCACTAAGTGACACAGATTCTTATGAAGTTTTATAAACCATGAAGCAATGCTACTAGCAATTCAGTTTCCTTAGTTTCATGTTGTTGTGGTGGACCAGTCAGTGACAGTTTTGCTTGCAGTGAGTGACAACTTGGCTGATTTAAACGACTTGAGCCTCTTAAGTATGCGAAGGCCACTAAATAGGTAAAATTGGAATTAAATTTGACATTTAAGTGATTAAGTCTAAAAAATGCTTATTATGGTCAAGAGATTACATAACCTTGAAGCTCGAACCAAATAAACCGCAAGCTTGTATGGCTTGGCTCAAGATTTATTCTAATATTCTTAAATGTCCCCTCATCTGCAAAGCTATCTTGCTTTGCAATTATGAACTTAGCATAAAAACTTCGTTTGAACAAACATAGCTTTAAGATATTTTTTACCATAATTCATAAGGAATTTTTTTATTATTTTGTTGGTGCTAGGACATTTAATAGAAGCAACACACAGTTATCTAGCTTATGCGGTAAGTTAGTAAGGGTTTACGAGGAAATCAGTCATAAGTGATGCACTACATCTTAGTCTAGTTATGGTGAAAAGTTAGTAATAGGGTGATTGCTATTAAATTAGTTATTCGTGTTGATATTATAAGTATTGTTTGCGCCGTACTTGTTAAGTTGGAGTAAAAGATAGTTTGAAAATTAATTTTGTGTAGTAATGGATAGTTTGAAAATTAATTTTGGGAAGTAACAAATGAGCTTCTATAATATATACCTGAAATGGCAATGATAATTATTGGGGTGACTTACAATGGACATATAGGTTGTAATAGGTGTCTTATGAGAGGATTAATGTTATTTTCGGAATAAGAGATATAAATATAATGGAAGAAGCTTTACCTAATATTGTAGTAGCATGTGATGTTGCAATAGTATACACACATATTAAGAAATGTGAACATCACATATTTAAAAAGTGATGCATCAAAATCTTTCATAGTTATCTTTTTAATTAGAAGGAAAGTAAAACCATTTTTGAAAAATTATAAGGTGACTGGTAATAAGTTAGGCTATACATGATAGAGTAGTACTTATGGATTTATACCTTATGAAGAGCATGCTTATAAGAAATAGATTCTCTTAGGTTTTTATTGTAGAATTTAAACTGTCAGAAATATTAATTTATCAAAATAAGTTGCTAAAAAGGACAATTTGGAATTTCTAAACTATATGTGGGATAAGATTCTAGAAACACATATGATATTAGTAAGGAAAATTTGTGTTACATTAAGGAGGTATAGAAGGTCATTAATGAAAATAATGTTTTTAAAGTGGCAAGAGATAAATGTGATGGATGTGTATAATAATTATATGCAAGCTAGAAGTTTTATATAGAGGATAGTAAACAAAAAAAAAGCTATAATATTTATGATTCATGTGATAGGCTAGACATTAATTAGGAAACAATGATATATATAAATTTGCTAAGCGAATAAATAAATTCATTTTGACCTATAAATATATTTAAGTAGTAATGCTTGCAATGCCAAAAAGTTTGGCTCAATTTTTTTTGTGAGTGTCTACATTGGCACTTTTAAGAAATTATGGTAGTTGGGGAACTCGTAACATGTGTCACAATTTATGACCCTATGCTTTGATTTAATGTCTCTGCCTATTTGATATGAGTTAGTCAAACTTAGTCAAGGCTTTTTCAATGCATTCAAAATTGGTCAATCGGTGAAAAACAATCGAAACAATATCAAGATTGACCCATTAGGCCAAATTGGTTAATATGGGTTAAAAATAAATTTAGTTGAATACAAAGAACCCAACAAAAGGAATAAAATTTAACTCAAGCCCATCCATGGTATTTTCTTATTCATTATCCATATGATCGAGTTCATAAAAATAATTCATCCAATCATGGGTATTCTGCCGTATAGTGGACCCTACATCTTTTAGAACTTCTCTAACTGGATAAGCCTCTCCTTTTCTTATGATTTTGGAGTTTTAGGCTTATATTGCTTAGGTAATAGAGGGAAGCCTTTGCTATAAATATCAGGGTGGAATAGAGGATTGTATGATAAAAATAGGAGATACAAAGCAGCTTTATCTAACTATTGTAGCAATGATCTATCCTTCCCTTATTGATTCTTTGTTGTCATTGCCACCAACTCAGGTGCCTCGTGTCACATATGCCCTTTTTTTGTGGTCTTACAATTTGTGCGCAATTATCCCCATTTATGCCTTGAGAGTGATAGACTTGGGTGATTTTTTGGTGCCGCCTTATTAGGGATGATGCATGTGGTTATTAAAATTTTAAGTGAGTTTCTAGAGTTCTATATAATGTTGCTCTATATCATGACTCTACATGGAAGTTTTATCGGATTTTTGTGAACAAATACATGAGAATGTATGTGGACAATTTTCTATTGGCTGAAGTTTGAAACAAAAGGCTAAAAAGAATGAAAATATAACAAAAATCACCAAGTAAGAACAAAATGATTTTGTCTTTGCCAAATTGCACATTGGGTATGGTAAGAATCTCTCCGCATATTAAAATAATGAAAGAGCAGAAAAAATTAGGAATTGCTATCTTTTATTCGCCTAAAAAACTTCATTGGATGATAGGCTTTGTTGATCATCCGAATAATCAATAGAGGATATGCCCAATATGCCTAATATCAATGTCCAAAAGAAGAAAAAAGACAAGTTAGATGTGTCCCCTTGCTCAATTACATGGCAACAAACTTTTTGAACATTTTAAAAAGATGCCTTCTGATAATGTCATATTATTATTATTAAATGTTACTCGGTCTATCCCACATTTGTATTTGTGTTTGATTAGTTTAGGAAATTTATAGGAAAATTTAGAACTTCAATAAAATTTAAAAAAGAGTTTGGAATTTATAGGAAGTTCAAAAAATTAACAAAATAATAGAAACGCAGAAATAATTGAAAAATGAAAAAAAATTTAAAAAAAATATGGAAAATTTTATAAATATTTTAGAGAATTCGATAAAATATTTATGTTTCTTCCATTTAATTGCAATCTCTCCATTTAATTGCTTAAAAAATACATAAAGCATTGACAATTAAAAAAAAAAATGTAGCAGGTTAAAATATCAAGCGTAGACCACTTATTTGTATGCTTTGCCTTTTAGATGTAGAGTTTCAACTGTGAACATCATGAGTTTTTCATAATTTGTTGGTTGCTATTTTGATAATGAATACATTAAAATATAAATCAAAGCTAGAGGGATTCCCTCAACATACAAAAATTGGGTTTATGCACTTCACCATCCCATAAAAAAGGTATAGAAAGTGTAAAAATACAAGATCCTTAAAAAATAATTGTGACAACTTACAAATCATTGGCACCCATCAGTCATTTGCCTTAAACTTGCTATGTGCCAAAATCAAAGTTTGACCAAGGTTTGCTTAAAGGCGCTAATGCTCATATCAATGTGAGTATACAATCTTATTAATAATCTTATACTAGTTA